TAAGGAACAGATCTACCTCATGCTCCCCATTAAGTATTTGACTGATAGCATAAAACAAAGCCATCAGTAATGGAGAGATAAGAGAACTGGTCTTCAAAAGCCTTGTAAATATATACACCAGGAAAAGAAGTCTCTAATAGACCCTCACCATCCCATGGCTGGGTTTATTTCATACCCTCCGTTTGACTGGCATGCTTGATTGTTAAGCATCTAACATCATTCACAGTGCTTACATCAGAACAGAAAAGACGTGCAAGTCTTGGAGTCTAAATCTTGCACACTCAAGGCTCCTATTAAATAGAAAAGTTAAGCACATGCATAAACATCTTCAGGATCAGGACTTGGTCTGCAGGAATTGACAGCTAAGGCCGCCCCACTGGCTATAGGATTTTTCTAGCCTTAATAACTTCCAGAAGATGAAGTTTTAAATATCACAATACTATACTGTTAAATTCTGAGGCAAAAAAAGAAAAACAGATCAAAATGTGTCTGTTTAGGACAGCAGTCTAAATCCACCTCCCTCGCCCAGTATAATTTAGTTTGTATCTTATGGGTGGATTGAAAGTTAAAAGCATCAGGGATTAGTCAACAGCAGTATGAACTGCAGATTTCCAATCTACAGTGCATCTTGATAGAAACCTATGACATGGCATATGGCATCTCAGATAGTGGCTAATACCAGATGTTTCAGAGACAGTCACAAAAAAACACTGGGAAAGCTTCTTCCTGATATATTAGTTAGAGATTGGCTTATGCCCTGACGCATGAGTTTCTCACTTCCAAACTCTTTGGTGTTTTTTAAAAAAATCCTTACTAATGTAACAACTAACTATAGCAATGTCCATTTTTTTTAACCCTGCTAAGCTGTTGGCCTCAGGGATATACACCTCTACCTCGATATAACGCTACCCGATATAACACGATTTCGGATATAACGCGGTAAAGCAGTGCTCCGGGGGGGCGGGGCTGCGCACTCCGGAAGATCAAAGCAAGTTCGATATAACGCGGTTTCACCTATAACGCGGTAAGATTTTTTGGCTCCCGAGGACTGCGTTCTATCGAGGTAGAGGTGTACTGAGGTAAGGTGTTTCATAGGCTGAAAACAGTTCCTTGTATTCATTTTACATTTTCAACCTTTGTTTCGCTGAACGCCATTTGTTCTTGTTTTGTGAGAGGATAAACAAAAAAAAGTTATTTTTATTTTTAACTCGTGATGAATAAATGGAGCCATGTAAATGTGTCAGAGAAATTGGTCTGGCAAGATCTTCAAAGCTGGTTGCTGTTACTAAGCCATTTAGTTGTAGCCCAGTTTACTTAGCTAATAACTATTCTGATGTAACAAAACTGATAGTTTTCAGAGTAGCAGCCGTGTTAGTCTGGATCCGCAAAAAGAACAGGAGTACTTGTGGCACCTTAGAGACTAACACATTTATTTGAGCATAAGCCCACGAACGCTTATGCTCAAATCAATGTGTTAGTCTCTAAGGTGCCACAAGTACTCCTGTTCTTAAAACTGATAGTGTGATTCCAAGGCAGACACCGGTTTCATTTCCAGCGCCTCAGTTAAATGCGAACTTTGTAAAGAGAATCCCTACCTAGGGAAAGTTTAAAACTATCTCCCATGGTTGATAATACTGGTTCAGCAGGTGTAGGAAATGCTGGGACAGCCTGAAAGGTGCCACTACCATTTTCATCGTCATGCTACCCAAACATGATAGGTGCGAGTGCTAAAAACAGTGTCAGACACTTAAAGTAGAGCTCCTAAGATTACAAAACACTGGTGTTTGTAGCCATGGGACATTTTTCAAGGATTTCCATAGTGCAGACAGGGCTAGCTTGTTCAAAACTCTAACTTAAGTTTGGTCATCACTAGCTTCCTTACACTTATCTCAATCACACACACACACAAAAACAATTAGAACCAATACTTTGTTCTAATACAGCCCCTTTCATCTGATGATCTCAGAGCAATTTAAAAACATTAAAGGTACAACATCAATTTGAAATCTTATCAGTTTACAAAAAGGTGAGATGTACTTCCCCCTGCCAGATTGTGCAGTCTGAATCACATTTGCCTATTTTTTCCTCAAAAAAACCCAACAAAAACACCAAACATCCATTTCTCCACACTGTTTCTGTGTAAAGGATCCACATAAATAGGAGAAACTCCCTGATAGTCAAGCAGTGAAAGTATCCCCCCATATAGTGTTATCAAAGATTCCAAATGAAATTTTTTTTTAAAAAAGTCAATTACAGTGTTTTTTTGGGTGGGGGGGAGGGGGTTATTTGTAACAAGAGATAATGTGTTGAGACAAATGTGATTTTTAAAAAGAAACCTTGTGTCTCTTGGAGCACACACCAGAATTGGATAGTAAAGTTCACATTATACAGATGGGGAAACTGAGGCACAGAGGTGCAGTGACTTGCTCAAGTCTGCACGACAAATTAAAGGCAGAGCTTGACACTGAACTGTGAAGTACTACTCCAAACCCTTGACGATCTTTCCTTCATAATGTGACTTATTTCACCAAGGTACTCACTTTCAACTGATTGAACAGTCAAGAAGATAGGGCCTGCCCTAAGACATCAACTTCTGCAGAATTTAGGCATTCATTTAAGAGTTTCTTGTCCTTGAATAAAGAAAGCCTTCCAAATTTGAACTGACTGTAACCCCAAAAAAGTGTTATCTTCCCTAGTTTGCAGGTAGACAGCTTAAGGATCTCTGAAGCTTCTCAGTCCTTTTCCCAAGTTCCAGTACAAGTAAAATGACTAGACTTAGATAAGTATTGCTGTCTCCTGTATTGCGCAGCACTGAAACCTACAAGAATCGCATCCATTTCACTCTATAGGTATTCGGAAAAGCTATGAGTAGCAGAGGATGCACTTTGCTGACGCCCCAAAGAACTTTATCAGTTTCCAACTATTAGATATCCAGACTGTCACTGGTTGAGTGCCTACAAGCATTCTACCACCATACTTCCAAGGGTGCTTTGTTTTTGTATGCAGAAAGAGCTCTCAGATCACAGGAATCTTACACACAAACACTATCTTCTCAGAAGACCACAGTCACCAGAAGACCAAATACTCAGACTCAGACTTTAAGGTCATAAGGGACCATCCTGATCATCTAGTCTGACTTCCTGCACATTGCAGGCCACAGAACCTTGACTATCCGCCCACTCCTGTAATAGACACATAACCTCTGGTTGAACTACTGAAGGAATCACCTGTACAGGGATGTACTACTAATTTTGTCTTCATGCTAGCTCTGTTTATCAACAATCTAGTGAAGAAACTATCAGTTGTGGCTATGGTACATTGATGTACGATTAGTTATTATGAACTACATGCACTAAATGTAAAGGTTTTTCCATCCAGACTACTAAAGAAAAAGCATGCAGGGTGAAAACCTTTCTAAATGAAATGCAACACTGCTCTTCAAGATGTCCTAAACTCTATAGAGCACAGCCAGTTACAGCTTAATGGGTGCCAGTCTAGGAACAACACCTGAAACATGCTACTGCTGTCATGAGGCAACTTGAAGAAGAAAGGTAGATGTATACACAGAACTCCACTTGTGACAGCTCTTCATGACTTGATAAACTATTACTTTTTTTCCTGGAGGCTGTCATCCGATACTGCAGAATGAACACTTTCATTTTTTAAAAATGTAATCCTATAGCCCTCATCATCCAGCTCTCTGGAGCAGAGCCAGTGTTTCCACTACACATGTGTCCGGTACTTAGCACAATACATTCATAATCATCAACCTCTAGCTGCTAATGTAACTCAAATAGTCAACCTCACAGAAAACCTTCAGAATATCCTCAAGTGTACCAAAGTGACATCTGCCCAAGCCTGAAGTGGCCTGATATCTGAAAAAGCTGTGAACTATCCTGCTTATCTCAAAGTGGTGTTAACTCTGAATCCCAGCAATGCTGGTTTAAACATCAACTTTCCAATGTAGATCGAAGAGCCCAAGAAAAGAGGAGAATCTCAGAGAGAACTGCACCATCTTTCTACGGCATGAGACATCTGTTCTCGACTAGCCATACTGTGCCCTGGAACAACACCTTTACCTAGCTCACCCGCTGTTTAACCCAAAGGGGAGATGGCTTCCGAGGCAGAGTGGCTCGGCTAGAGAGACACAAGCTAACACACATCACCACACAAGAATCTGTAACCTTACTCTCACCACCCCCTCCCTGGATCCCCACATTACAGCCACCTGGCTTCTCCCCCATCCCCCCCTAACCCATCCCCTCAGCCTCCCCCCAACCCTAACCCATCCCCCCAACCCCTAACGCATCCCCCAGCCTCCTCCTAACCCCCCCAGCCCTAACCCATCCCCCCATCCCCTAACGCATCCCCCAGCCCCCTCCTAACCCCCCCACGCCCTAACCCCACCCCCCCAACCCCCTAACGCCATCCCCCCCAGCCTCCCCTCTAACCCCCCCCCAGCTCTAACCCCCCCGCCCTAATCCACCCTCCCCCAGCCCCAGCAACGCGGCCTCCCCCAGCCAGCCCGGCCTCGTCCCCTCCCCGCATCCGCCCCCCAGGAGCCAGTTCGCCCTCAGCCCCTGCCCAAGGCTGCCCTCCCCTCACCCCCCACCCCCGCGCCGCAGGCCCCCCCACCTTCCTCTCGGCCGGGCCCCTCAACAGAGCAGGGCCTCTACAGCGATGTGCGCACCATACCCCACTGCAACCACCATTGACCCCGCGGGGCCCCGGTCTGCTAGGAGCCACGCCCCCTTCCCGCCCCAACCAGCCAATCATTTGCCTCCTTCCTCTCACACGGCCGCTACTAGCCAACCCCGGCTCTCGTTTTTTCTTGGCCGTCCCAACAACACGGCGACGATTGGCTGATCTCGTGAGGGGGCGGTGTGATTGGACGAAGTGTCCCCGGCTCGGGGCCCCGCACCCGGATTGGTGGGCTTGGCGAAGCAAGGGGCGGGGCGGGGCCCGTCGCCGGGGCTACGGGGTGGGGGGCGGGGGAGGAGGAGGAGTCGGCTCCCGGAATGGTAGGTCTGGCGCCTCCATCTTTCCACCCCGCGCCCAGATGGCACAAAGGGGCAGCGCCGCCCGGCCGCCGGCCTGAGCGGGGGACGAGCCCGGCACCGCCCCGGTAGGTACCGCGAGCGCAGGCGCGGAGTGGGAGCCCCCAGAGCCGGGCGGCGAGCGGGGGCTGGCGACCCCAGCCGGGGGGGAGATGCTGTGGGGCGAGCCCCAGGGAGCTCCCCTCAGGCGTGGGGCGGGGCGGGCACCCCGGGCTGGGCGCTCCCCTGGGGAGGGGCCTTTCCGGGAGCTGGGGGCTCCTCGGGGAACCCGGGGGGCAGAGGGATCCTGGGGGGGGGGCTGGGTCTAGGGAGGCGATCGGATCTCCCGGGCACGGGGGAGGGGGTTTGAATGGGGGTTGGCCCGGATGGGGCGGCCGAGAGTTATGGGGCTGGGGTAGCGGGTGGCTCTGGGGGCAGGCTCGTCCCGGGTCGGAGGGGGTCCTGCGGGGGGGTTCTCGGGGTTGGGGGATCTGTGTGTGCGGGACGGGAATTGGGGGGGGGTCTCTGGGGTTGGGGGATCTGTGTGTGCGGGACGGGAATTGGGGGAGGGTCTCTGGGGTTGGGGGATCTGTGTGTGCGGGACGGGAATTTGGGGAGGGTTCTCTGTCCCTTGTTACCTGGGGGGCACCGGGCTGTAGAACCGAGAGAGGACTGGAGACCGGTTTCCCTCCCCCCACTCCCCGCAGGTGAACGGGGTGCGGGAGATGCAATAGGTCCGTTTGCCTGGATGTTATGCTGGGTTCCCGTTTCGCCTCGTGCTGGCTCGGCTCAGCGCTGCTGGTTAGTGGGGCAGGCTGCAGGTGTCTGTTTTGACTAGGGAAGGGGTGTGAAAGAGAGAGATCAGAGATGAGTCCTGTGCAACCCTGATTTGCATTTACTCTCAGGAAGTCACGGTTGTAAATGCGTAGGCTCTGCCACTGCCTTAGTAAGCGCAGTTATCTTATTTCTAACAATGGAAGTAAGGGTAGGCGGATTGTTGCATAGAAGTTGGACGTCCTCTTATTTGCAGACACCTCTTCCTGTTTCGTTGGTATGGCCGTATCTAATGTGCAAGGGTTGCTGTGTTCTGGATTTCTGGTCCTGTTATAGATGCATACTTTGCAGTATTTGTAAAAGAATGCTCTGAAGTAGAATAGAAGGTAAACTGAGGTAAAGGTAATGGAGTGCCAGATATGGCCAGAGGGTCTCGGTATTATACATGCAATTGTATTTAAATCGAGGGTAGATCTTGCTGCTCTCTCACAGGTAGAAGACAGAGAGACTGCTTGTGTGAGGAAAATGAGAGAAGCAATGTCTATATTAAAAAAATAAGAAGTGAGACCGACAATATTTTTGGGGCTGTATTCTTACTCCCATTAGTAATCCTTACTCGTGCAAGTAGTCCTGTTGCTTCCAGTGGAACAACTTGCACAACTAAAGTTGTGTGTGTACATATGCTATTAAAACAAATGAAAAAAGGACCCTTTGCTTTTTTGTTTTTTAGTAGCATATGATATCAAGGCCCTGACTCTGCAAGCACGCAAAACCATATTTAACCTTATTCACACTAACAGTGCTTAGACGTAAAAGTGTGCTGTAGTGCTTTGGTGAACTGGATGCCAAAGTGAATCGCTGCTATTATTATTTTAAGTGATGCAGCCTATAAAGGTGAACTTAAAAATGAAAATAGAACTTGCCCAAAAAATCCACAAACCAGGCTGCAGGTGACGTCAAGCACAGGAATAAATGTTAACTTATTAACAGCATCATAGACTGACTTCCTGGTTCACAAAAAAAGCCCTAATACATTGGGTTGCAATGACTTCTCTGTTATGTATAATATGACAAAATGATTGTTTTAATCCAGGATTCCTTCTGGGAGCCAGAAAAACCCAGAAGGATTGATTTAAAAAAA